GATTTTTCACTATATAATATGGTATACAATACTAATATGTAAGGAAAAATTCCTGAAAAATACTCGAACTTCATTTAATTTGCTTAAAATATACATGAACTATTTTGGTTACCCGAATAATACATGAAGAATTTACTATTGTCGTTTATATACTCAAACTTTCAAATTTTGTAGGTTTTACACCTTCATTGTAACGGCGTTAACCCGTTAACAGAAGATGATAAACGGAGTCTAAAAAATACTCGAACTTAGTTTAAGTTGCTTAAAAAATACACAAACTTTTTGGTTCCCCGAATAATACACCAACTATTTATATTTGTCTTTTATATACATCAACTTTCTAAATTCAGGTGTAAATTACTACAATAATAATTGATAATATTGCATGGTTTGTGTATGAGCAAGTAATATTATGAATTGAGTTTTTTGTTTTTATAGGATTTTTATAATTGGAGGTGCTGTGCAATTTCTTCCAAAATCATTGGGACTAACCTTGGCGAAGGAGTTCAAATGTTGTAGGTATGACTGGTATTTTTTGCATTAGTCTTAATGACTTATTTGAATGGGCTTATCAATAATAATTGTACATCTTGAAGTATAGACAGGAAGCCCGTGTGGAGGTTGATGCTCACGGAGATATGACTATAGAATTTGAGTAAAAACTTGGCTAGCTCGTACTGGAAAAGTAATCTACCACTTTGACCTAGTGCCATATCATATTCATCCTCTAAACATTTCACTTATGTAAGTTAAACTAACATTATCGTATTCTCGATTTTGAGGACAAAAAATTGGAGTATATAAAAGACAAATTTAAATAGTTGGTGTATTATTCGGGTAGCCAAAAAAGTTTGTGTATTGTTTAAGTAGGTTAAACTAAGTTCAGGTATTTTTATGGATTTTTTTTGTTATAAAAATTACACCATTTATTATATTCTGTTAACGGATTAACGCCGTTAGAATCGAAGGTCTAAAACCTACAAATTTTGAAAGTCTGAGTGCATAAAATGCAACCGTAAATACTTCATGTATTATTTGGATAGCCAAAATAGTTTGTGTATTTTTTAAGCAAATTAAATTAAGTTCGAGTATTTCTTAAGAATTTTCCCTAATATATAACATGTTATCATACTACACAATACCTTGTTAATATAACATGTTATTGATAATAAAAAAATGTTA